GTATGATTGGCTGTTTAAATCAATTTAATTTTACATTATTTATACAGTTTAAAGTACTTTTTAAAAAAAAGAAAACTGCTACGAATAAACAAAAACGAAGTATATAGAAACTTTTATTAGCGTTGTAGGGCTCCAATATTAAAAATAATCAACATTCTTTTTTGTTTCAGAGAAGTTAGCACGGTGATAACCTAATTTTAAGAAGTCGTTATTATGCTAACTTCTCTAAAACAAAAAAGAATTTGATTATTTTTAATAGTGGAGTCCTACGACCTAATATACTTCTTTTTTGTTTATTCGTAGTAGTTTTCTTTTTTTTAAAAAGTACTTTAAACTGTATAAATAATATAAAATTAAATTGATTTAAACAGCAATCATATTAATGTCTGCCTATGAAACTTATTCTGGGTTCGTGCGTTTTAACGTTTTTAATTGGTTGTATCTAGAAAATGTGATAGAGTGTGGGAATTTTGAGTTTTAACGTGTATCTAGAAAACGTGATCGAGTGTGAGAATTTTGGGACTTCTTATTACTAAATTAAGTTAGTTATTTCCTGATTATTATTATTTCCGATTACGACATTCCGAATTCCTTCTACCGTATTTTCGCGGAATAACGCTCATGAGCGTTATTTCGAGGTTTGGCCCGAATTAAGCTTAATTCGGGCCGAAATTCATAATTTCACCCCTGCGCGTTATTCCGCGACAATACGGTACTGTAATTATGACTGCAACATTTAACGATATCTAACTAATGTTCGTCCGTTTAACCATTTTTAGGTTTCCTGTGAATAAATTCAGATATTACAGTATGTAATGATTCATAATCAATCTATCAATTAATAATCATCAGGATGGCTTTTATTTTGGCGGAATAAAAGATATTTCGCCAAAGAGTTGCCAAAATCGTTGATTACGGTATTACACAATATTAAATCAAAATTAAACTGTTTATGCTGTAATGTAAACTTATTTATAAACACTGTATTTATTAGAAAAATTAATATTTTACCTGTACATAGTTTAGAAATCTTCGGAATCTATTAGATAAGTTAGTGAACTTTTTTGAAAGTTCGTCTGATGATATGAACTTTACAATCGAAAATTGCATTGCCATCTACATGCTGTAACATGTAAAAGTATCTTACATGAACTTTTCCAAGTTTTATCTTGACATGCAAATTCTGTCGCTTGATGCATGGTGCAAATTATTTTATAAAGATTCAAGCGGACAAATTTTTGTTTCCAGCTTGTTTAATTAAACGAATCATCGATTTTTAAATTTTGTTTTTGTTGAAGGTTTGGGATTATTTTTTTTTTAAATGCGTACAAACACTTATCATAACTGAATTTATTTTCTTTTGCTAATGTAAACTTTCAAGATTCATTCAAAAAACTCACGATTCAGAATCTTAGGTCTTTTGTGGTTCCATAGTCATTATTGATGAAAAAAAATTGTCAAAATTTCATTTATTTTATTAAGTCATAGATTTTATCTTAATTATTTTTTTTTTTTCTTATTCATGTCATCGCTCCTGATTTATCATAATATAAAAAATTTTTTGACCTGAACCTAATTTTTTTTTCGCATGTTCAACAAATTCCTCATAACGTATAATGAAGCATAAAAATTGTTCCATAATTTCAAATAATGAAGCCATTTAACCGCATAAAAAATGTTCAATAATTTCAAATAAAATTATGTTAGTCATTGGCTAAAATTAACAAAACGAAAAGGAATAATAAGAAGTAAAGTTAATCTCTTAGGTAAAAGAATAAAAAAAGGTTCCACCAATTAGTTTAATAGTTGCCGAAGATTTTTGATACTATGTACAGTGTACAGGTAATATATTAATTTTCTAATAAATACAGTATTTATGAATAAGTCAACACTTTGGCGAAATAACTTTTTTTTTCATCAAAAAAAAAGCCATCCCGAGAGAAGTGCTAGAGAAAAATCGATTTAATTACTGTTATTGTACTAAACCAACATCAAAGTTGTACTGTCGAAGAAACAATTCTCTATGTACAAGAATAAGTTCGTGTGTTTACGCGATCAATGTAAAAATATATATTTCTTTATTTACAAATTTTTAAATTTGTAATATTTAAATTTTTTACCTATTCCACCGATTGTAAAGTAACGTAAGTTCGTTACTTTTAAATTAACGATTTAATTTCGAAAGTGACATACTTGAAAAATGACGTGAAACAGGTTTAGTGGGGTTGTTTTAGGTAGTAGTAGTGTTAGTTGATACCCGTATTACCCATACAGTATTTTGTGATTTCGAAGTAGCTACCACCTTTGCAATGTGCAAATTAAATTTCTTCAAAAGATATTAAATCAATTTTGTTACAAAATAGATAGCTACGTGACATTGTCGTGCTAAACTAAGGACGAACGAATGCAATCTTAATTTAAAAAATGTTGGACAACTCTAATACAGAATAGTCAGGGATTTTACCAAATATGGAAATCGATTCTGGAATAATCTGCAACAATCTGATTGGCTGTTGATCATCATTTTTTTAGCATTTTTTCGATTTTCTAGTCGCAGATCGAAGCTTTTAGCAATAGCTATATAAGGTTAAACGCTATATGGACCAAGACTATATAATTTTCAGTACCAGGATCAATGAATAATATTTCGGGATCATCCTTTTTTAAAAAGGTAAATGAAACCTAAAGTACAAGAATATTAATACCTAACTTACTTGTTAAAAAACTTTTTTTAAGCGTTTTAGACTAAAATTAACCACGATGTCACAAGCCTCAAGACCAAAAGCCTATGAACTTCCTTGCATATTTAGTAGACTAGTTAGTCGTTATGATAAAATCGGTCTAAGTGCTTGCGAAACCTCTGCAACACAAATCTGGAGGCATGCTGATAGTCAAGCAGCAGTTAGGCGGCTCCCATTATTTCAGGCTTTTATGCCTGAACTCGCAGATCTTCAATCTAGTTTAAGTTCTTACTTGATCTGCCAAATGCATTACAATCAAGTTGTCTCTAAAGATCATTTTTACTAGCGTCTATCAAATAATTCTTCTTCTTCTTGTTATATAGACAAAAAATCTCGATTTGATAACAATTCTAATATCAATTTTATTTCTGATTCTCTTTCTAACTCTAGTTCTAGAATTCATGGCGAGTCACATTTACGAGTAGAGCTTGAAAGAACTGAAGGTCTATTGAGAAGTCAAGGAAATAGCGCAGGTGTAGAAAATTTCGCTAATGTAATTACAGAATTATTAGTGCAAATGGAAACTCTAAATGGGGAAATAATTGAGTTAAAAAAAGAATAGGCAAATATTGTGTAGAGATAATTAGATTAGAGGATCTATACCAAAAACAATGTAAAGTGAATGAAGAACTCGTTGAATAGTGGAATTCTCAACATAGCGACCGGGATAAACGTATACAAGAAGTCATTAATATTGCACAGCTCGAAAAAGAACTTTTATATGAAGATATTGAGTTTCTAATCAAAAATAGTAATAGGTTTTCTTTAGAAAACCTATTAACTTATACTCCTCAAACATGGCTAAATAAACAAAATCTAGCTATTGCAAAATTTATCGAGACACTAACTCACAATAATTTCAATTTAGATTCTTTAAATATCAAAAACTTTTTAAACAAGCAATGGCTGTTGATTTAATATATGGGTTCAGGCATGGGAAATATGTACCAAAAATAAATCCTGTTGCATCAGCTATCAAGTATTCTATTGCTTGTTCTAAAACTATAATTAATATTGATAATCATATTACGTGCTCAGGTGGCTATTCTCATTTTCAAAGCTAGTTGACCAAACTGTCAGAATATGAAGAACCTTTGCCTGAAGGATTTCTGTTCATAGCTTTTGATAATGAACAAAAAGGCCAGTGTAACTATCTTGATCGAGGAATGAATATGGTGATATTTTATATTGTGACTAGTTTTGTCACTTTTAACATGGATCCTCAAAATTGTATTCAATATATTAATTTATCTTGGGCATTAAGTTCTCTTAGTAGGCATCAATACAAATCTTTTTTTGAAATTACATCAGAGATTCAAGAAGCAATAGATCAAGAATTAAATAATTATCTTACTGAAATTCTTGAACTATTATGTGAAGAAAAATCATCTACCACTAATTCTATTGATTCTTTGGTAGCTAATATAGGATCTAGTAGTCACTGTAATAAACAATATCTTAACTGTGGAGAACAAAGTATTGACAATCGAAAGCAACTTTGTCCCAAGTGCAAAACCTGCTTACCAATATTGGCTGAATTACTAAGGCAAGTAGTTTCTGAGTTAAAAAAAAGTATCACAGCCAACCAATAATTTTTAAACCGTATTGTGTTGAGAAGGAAATAGAATTACTACAAACTACCAAGAATTAGTGTTACCCAAAATCGTATTGCGGATTCCTGATCCACTTAATGTTAACTCTAATTTAACAGCATATATTGAAAAAGTTCTTTCTCATATTGAAAATATTTCAGATATTAAAAATAGAATGCGCAAATGAATGGCCATTACATGTGATAGTATCCCATACTAGCATATATCTAAAATAAAAAATAATTACCCTTGGTTGGTTCTTATTCCTGGACAACTTCATAAAGAGATGAACATGCTTTAGGCATATGTGGAACTAATTTGGCAAGTTATATATTTAATAGTTTTGTATTAAGCTACACAAAGTTAATTTTTGTTTTGCATTAGTTGGTGTTTTAAGATTCTGGTCGGTCGATCAGATTTTTTTATTAATCTAAATTAAGACTAAAAAAAAAAAAGTCTGAAAAATTTAAGTTGCAAACCAAAAAATTAACTTTGTATAATCTTATTTTATATGTTCTTTTTTTTTTTTTTTTTTTATTTCGGCAGTCATGCTTTAACTTTATTAGGCTTTGTACGAATCCTCTAGACTCGTAAAATTTTACACTAAGTTGCAT